CCAGCTCCTTATACATGATATACTTTTACTCTTTCGGCGTCAGTTCTTGTCCAGCTTCTCATCCTTGTATTGCTGGCTTAGAACCTTTCTGATAGCGTTGTAGTAATCCAATGTGTCTCGAAATCTATTCTTGACCATTTTACAGAGAGCATTCAGTGTAAGGATCATGCTTTGTAGATTTTCATCAGTACGGACATGTTAGCTGAGTTTTTCACGTTGTATGTGCTCATCATTGAACGTTGTGGGATGCCTAATCGAATCCACTGATGGTCTTTTTCAGCAGCCTTGAACAGCTTGGTGATTTGGTGACAGACAGAACATAGATGCCGTGTCTCGAAAGCAAATGTAATTGTAGACAGTTTGATCAACTCAAATTCGGGGTGAGCTACTTTCTTGATGAAGTGAACGAGGTCGGCGTGTAGTTTCATACTTGCGCAATGGTATATCGGCTCAATGTAGAATATCTCGTTCAGGGACATACTTGGATCATTAGATTTCAGCTTAAAATAATATTCCGTTTAGATGCATCCAGTGCCATATAGCCTCTTATATGATGCATCCAGTGCCATATAGTCTCTTATATCATCGAGTCTTGACAGCTTCGATAGGCATTTCTGCAGTGGATCCCATTCTAGCTCATCTGATGCCAGACGAGACACTTCTCGTTCAAATTCATCTTCCACCAATTAAATCCTTCTGCATCGCTATAGCTTTTGGCATCAATTCAGTGAATAAGCCCAATCATTATAGTCCGTAATTTGAGTGATTAGTTTGCTCTATCAGTAGAAATAGTACTTTAGGAATCGTTTAGATATGTGCCACACTGTATTTAAAAAGAAAACGTTTTTATTGCGTGTATAGCCCTACAATCTCTTAGACTTTTCCGTCCTCGCGCCCACAATAGCCTCATGTGTATATTGCACAATTGCACAATTGCACATTTTTTTACAGTGTACAACACAACAGTACGTTGTTAGATCCACGGCAATATAGCTTTACGGTACCTTATAAGTAGTACATGGTAACAAATGGTACAGTATTCTACATGGTACCTGTCGTGGCCGTTTTCGTGTGCAATTTCGCGCAACGGTAACAGTTCGGAAAATCAGGTTAGAGTAGTTTTTTCTTCTCTCAGAGCAACTTCAACGTGCTCCTTCGCGCAGATAGGTACGAGATAAGTTGCACGTCAATAGAGCGACTTCAACGTGAATCATTGCTATACAGAAACAAACCACGAGCTGACGATGAGCGAAATCGTGGAGCGTTGTGATTTCCTGTGTGAGTGTGCAAACAATTTGTGAGTATTTGTGAGTACAGCAGTTCCCCACTCACAAATTAGCACACCGACAGGCCTTCTAACCAAAAGATTTCATCATATAATTTGTGAGTATGTGAATATTCGAAAGTCAGGGAGGATGTAGTAGTATTTAGTTATCATACAACTTTTCCGTACTCACAAATTTTTCCATATGGACGCACTAAGAGCCATATGGTGTTCCTACATCGCGTTTTGGCCCCCTTGCTCACACATAACGCTTTGAGTACTCACCAGATACCGACCAATCTATATGTGTCAGATGAAACAATAAAAAAAGATTGCAATGCCACACTACCGCTTGTAAAACATGCCGAAAATACTGTGAGGTTCATTAAATCATATCATACCGCAGTTCAAGTTTGGAAAATATGGACATGAGGGAGTTGAGTCAATATAGGTTATGACGATAAATAAATAGTACTTTTAGAATTTGTGAAACAACACGAAGATGAGAATGAAATGTTGCAGCGCATACATCAACGATTTGACGATTTGTACATTATAAAGATACCCGAGCGTCTCTATACCTAGTAGCTTCTATTCTGGACATTAACGAATCTTTAATTATCAGTATATACTCGCGTCTTACTACTCTACAAGTCTTTGGCTGTTATCGGTGTATGCTATGATGACCATTGAATACATAGACGTGCCGAACACCGAATACAATACATAAACGTTCCGAACCATGACCCTCCATGGACCCCTCGCTGAAGCATATAAATATCTGTAAAAACTGTCCGAGGCCAATCTATTTGACTGATCAAAAGTGCCGTTATTTAAGTCATAATTATCGTATTCACTAGAACGGAGAAGATAACAGTGAGCCTACCCATTAGCTTCGAGGAGTTCATGAAGCAGAATAAGAAAGACGAAGAGAGGATAGATAAGCTCCATAGATTCATTCAGCAAGATCTAGAAATTCTAAATAATATAGGGACGATGGAGCAAACCGAGCGACTAATTGCGCAGCTAAAGCGACTGAAACGTCAGCTTTAAGAAAGTCAACGAAAACTGATGGATAATGAGCTTGATCATTTTGATGAGATTAACGCAATAGATCAAGCGATTGACATTATTCATACGATTTTTGCATAGTCGATCAACGATCCACTTGAATTCTTTTTGAACAGCTTGTAGAAGTCATGGCCAAAAAGAGGATTTTGAATGCTTACTTCGTGGTACGAGTAACGTTTTAGGATAACTCGCGGACGAGGTAATCCAAGAGGATGAAAGTAGATCTTGTCCTTGTTCAACACCGCCAGTCAGTGAGTTCTATCAATCATAAGGCTGTCCATATTCAGGATGGCGTAATCCGCTTTCAGAATTATCTATCTGATCTATTTTCACTCCAAGACAAGAACTTGATCATCCGTTGTTCGCGACAGATTAATTATTTTTTGTTCATCACCTTTGAGTAGTATATAGTGACAACTATGTCGACTGTCTCCGATATTTCTGCCTTTGAGCACTCCGAGAAACCAGCACCAGCTGAGACTCTGTTTCGTGATAAGAAATGGACATGTATTCTGGATTTGACATCGAATACGGGCCAATACTCTGGATAGATTCAGTTTAGCTTATGGACGATCTAGAAGAGAGCTAAGACAAACAAGAAAGCGTACCATCAAGACACTGCCTTTTGCTGCGAAATCGCTAACGATGCTCAACAAAGCGAAATTCAATTTGACACCTGAAGAAGTCAATGCTACAGCTGATACGCTCGAACAAATTGTTGCGGCTGCAAATAAGGCAGAGAAGAGGAAACGAGAGGACACATCAGCGGATAAACCCAACACAGACAAACGGGCAGCAAAGAATCGCGATGAAGGAAACTCGGAAGAAAAAAGAAAGATCGGAATGAAGTGCTGAATCGCGAATTCAACATGAGATACGCGCTCAATAGTTAAGCACAATTTAAAAGCGAAGTCCGCAAAAAGTCTATATACTAATATCAGAAAGAGGTTCGGAGTGGAAATAGGAAAATTCATAGCTAAACGAGATGGTTTGCCAGTTCTCGATGGACCAAAGACCAAGTTTAAATTCTTTGATAATCATTTCAAAGAACTTGCGAATCCTTCCGATGACTTAAACATTCAATATAACAAGAACGAACTGAAAGAGCTCTTGGGTGGGTTCTACTTGCATACTTAAATTGCCTGCATTTTAGCCAAGAGCTTCGATTCGATTGAGCAAAATGTTGATCTGCTTATGCAACAAGCAAAATATTTCGAATTGAAACGTTTAGGTGATACCCTTCAAGACCACCATCCGCTTCTACCTTCATCGAGTCGTTCTCAATTAGATTGACAAGAGAAGTGGGGCCCTTTGCGAGTACATTCATGTACCCAAAATTGCTTCGTGTCGCTTACATTCTGGTTCTTGTAGAGATAGGTGCATGGACCTATATCCATAAGCGCTGCAACAAGCTTGGATGTAACTGGTTGGATATTTTTTTTAATCGTTCGTGAAGTAGCTCCCAGAAGTGATCAGCGATGAGGCGCTGAAGCGAGCCGAGATAGGTTGAGAGGATAGAGATCCAATGAAGAATGTTGTCCGTTGTCAAGGCCACCAGAATCAATCGTTGTTGAATCGCTTCCAGATACAGCCAAAATGAAGCCTGGGTTGTTAGTTCCGATGCCTAGTTTCCTCCCGAGATGAGTATCATTTTTTTTTCTAGTTGCGTCACCTGTCATGAACCGCAAATCGTTGCTGGTGAATGTAATGCGTTTGTCGATGTTCCTGCGTCTCCTAAATCGACCTGTACCTCGAATGATACTGAGTTGATGTTCGTGCTTTGCATATTGAGCAACCTCTGATACGAACCATCAGTGTAGATTGTTGATCCGATGCAGTTACTATTGCATTGGTCGATGATGTGTTAATATTGGGTGCTCCTGTACATTTCACTCTCAGCGCTTCTGACGCATTATTAGTTGGATGTTTCGTAGCGAACACTAGATCTCCCGTGTCAGCTGCTATGCGGTTAAAAGCAAGATCCAAGAACACGCTATGCTCGTTGCGTTTAATTATCCATTTGTAATTACCATACCGAGTCTGTTTAGTCGACCGTTTGCTGCTGTTGTAGTTTGCGTTCGGCCAGTTAAGTCCGCGCTTGTCAAATTCACCTTCGCAATCCCAGTGATGCACTTGTTTGAGTCTAACACACTCCTAACACACTCCTTCGAGTACCAATGAAGTAGATCCAACAAATGACAACCCAGATACGCTACGAAAAGCATCACAGGTGAGTGTCTTCAATGATTGCGCAGTGCCTGCCGAGGAAATCCCTCCAATCCATCCCACAGCGGTTGCATTGATCGTATTGCCCACGACAATGATGCTCGTTGTAAATATAGAATTAATCTCACTGTTGTCAGAGCCTTGCTTGCTGAAGCAGGTAGGCGGAATCAGTACCTCCCAACGTGTTGCCTCCGAGTACTAATGATGTGGTTCCAATCAAGTTGAGGCATCAACAACCAGTGTCTGCATTGCAGAGGCCATTCCGGATGTGACGCCAGAAATATTAGTGGTATCAGTTGCTGTCGCCACCGTTTGGTACTTCAACATGTCGACAATAATATAATATACGCATTCATCATAATGAGGAACGTTCACTGCTACATCCTGTAAGTTGCAACTATTTCACGTTTTCTATATCAGGGACTTTCTAAATGCGCATGAACTAATTATTAAGACTGAAGCCTCCACCAACAAAGCGGGTGACTGCAGAAATCGCAAGCTGTCGCTGTTGCTCGGCAGGACTTGCTCGGCCGGCTTTGCTGCTGTGTTTATGTGGAATGTTTGGTAGTTGCATAAGCTGGTGCTGCTGCTGGTTACGAGGAACCAAAATGACAGGCTCTTTATCCTTTATCTTTGTCTCTAGCTTCCTTTTGTAAAACTTGTGTTTAAATTCATGCAACTCGCGTGCCAAACGCTCAATTTCAAACTTGTGTTCGTGTTCCTTGGCTTGAAACATGTTTTGCTCACTCAGCAAACTCTTCAGCTGTTTCTCCTTATCCCGAACGACCTGTTGGTACCAACTTAACTGTTCTGCAACCTCAGGGCCTGGTTGTCTTGCTAGAATTGCTTTCAGCTCTTGGTACAAGTTTTCTTTCTCTTGGTTTACCAGCTCCTTCTCAACAACTTCTTCCGTTTTCTGGATGAGACGTTTTTGTAGCGTCTGAATTTTCTGAAGCAACTCGTATGTGGCAGGGTCACTTCCTTCAAGTTTGCGCCACCGATGCACATTCATAGGGTTTTCAAGCTCTTCCGATAACGCCTTTACCTTTGTCTTTTCCTGAAGTAGCTCACGCTGGAGATGATACACTTCTCGCTTGAGTTCGTCCGACTGCCCCACTTGATGCTTGGCGATATAAAGCTCACGCTTGAGGTCTGTGACCTTCAACTTTAACACGCGAATATCTTGTAAACGCTCCAGGTACTGGGCTTCACCTTTGCTCAAGGTGGATTGTTGTATTTTGAGTTTTTCATACAAAAGCGCGAGTTCGTCATTGCGTCGAATAAGCTGGGTTCCAAGAATGTCACGTTCGTTGATAACTTGATCGTACTCTTTACGCTGTTCTAGCGCTTCATCATCCATTCGCCGAATCAATACACTAAGCTTGCGGACCTCTGAATCCTGATTGCTAATCGTCTCTTCATTTGCAGCATGAAGAGCTCGAAAATGAGCAACCTCGCTCTTGTGCTGATCTTTTTGCTTCTCCACCTTCTGGTAATCGAAGTGCTCCTTTACTAGCGCGACATCTTTCGCAGAAACCTCTTCCTTCAGCTGCTCGATCTGATGAGTCAAAATTTTGAATTTGCGCTTCATCTCGGCTATTTCATCTTGCGACTCGATAAGATTCTTACTGTACAAATTGCGTTCACTGCGGACAGCCTCGTATAGCTGTTGCTGCTGCTTCAGTTTCATCTCACCATCGTTGACCTTCTTTTGCAAGTCGTGGTTTCGCATCTCCTTTAACTTAACTTGTTCTTCAGCGTGAACATACAAATTTCGCAGTTCTGCTGCCTCCATACCAAACTTTTCGCGCTCCTTCTCAAGCTGATAAATCAGTTTGCGCTGCTTAGTTGCTTCCAGTTTAAATCCAGCCAGTTCTTGCTCCAAGTTCTTAGCCACGCGCTCATTAGTCTTGATTTCATCCTGTGCGCGACGAACTTTGCTTTCTGCTTTCACTGTCTGTTTGATTTGCATGCTTTTTTCTCGCTCCAACGCCTCCATTTCTGAACGTGCATGGTCTTCATTAATTCTGTCCTGATCAAGATCTTGTTGCATGCTTTTGATTTGAGATTGCAGCACGGTCTTAGCAGCGTGTTCTCCCTTAAGCTTTTCTTCGATTTGTTGCAATGCTCGTTTTTCTTTGTCCAGCTTGCGCTCCACAGTGCTTTTATCAAGTTTAACTCGATGTATTTCGTCGTATTGGGTCTTAAGTTCAATTTCCAAGTTGCGTCGCTCAACTTCAAGCTGCATTGTCTTGTCACTCTGCTCGTTGAGAAGATCTGTGAGTTTCTGCGTGCGCCCAAATAGTGCTTCATAGTCTCGAATGTACTTGTCCATTGTACTACGAGTCTCAATTAGCTGTTTTTCAAGTGCTCCAGCATGTGTTTGTAAACGTGTAAGCTCTGTCGCACCTTGAGCTTGCTCGAAGGACGATTTCTCCAGTTTACTCTTAACGTCCTTAACCTCTTTATCAAGCCGCTCTTTGCGTCGTACTTCACGATCCTGCTCTGCAGCCTTCATCGCGAGCTGGTCCTTCAAAGCTTGAATATCACTTTTTTGTGTAATTGTTTGAGCTTCCATATCTCTCAAACGACGATGAAGCTCTTGAATTCGTTCATGATCCTTCTGAGCATTGGATTCGTACTCCTCATTTGCGCGCATTAATTCCTCCTTCGCGCGCATATTTTCTTTTAACATACTTTCTTGTCCGGCATTTAGCCCAGTGCCTTGCTCGACAAGGCGACCAAGATTCATAATTTCATCTTTTAGCTGCTGAATCATTTCTTTGGCGCGCAACTCTTTTTCATGGGACGCATCCACCATCTTCCACGCCTTCTCCATTTCCTTCTTCAATGAAATAATGCAAACCTGATCCTCTTGTGAAAGCTTTAGAGCTGTCTGCACCTTGGCTGCATTATTGATGATTTCGGAATTTAATTCACGACATTTTTTAATAAGTTTCTTCTCCTGAACATTCGACTTTTTCAGCGCGCGGTGTAATTTTTCATACTCAAGTCGAAAACGCTCCAGGCTTTTATCGCCTTCCAACTCGGCTAGAACTTCCTCAAAATCGTTTTCAAGAGCCTCCAGTGATGTAGCCATTGAACCAGCATCATCAACTGGCACTTTCCCGTCAGGTGATGATGAAGTTTCACGCCCGCCAATTGCTGGCTCATCTCGATCGCTGCCAACCATTATCCAGATTGCTACTTAATCACTCCATCCCTCGTTAGTGAATCGACTTGTCGTTAGCCCCACAAATAGCTGCTTTAAAAAGACCAGGGGGCTGCCAATTTTAGAGTTTAAATGAAACGTAACATTTTCTTGAATGATAGTTGGAGCTTTGTTCGAGTCGAACAAAGCCAACACATTGATTGCATGACATAACGTAGGAAATGACTTGAAATGCATTTGTAGATTCATCGAGTATTAAGCAGCTAATGTTGCACCTCCCAGATTTCGGCAAAAAGCTCGATGACATCGCCAAGATGCATACGCTGCGGCAGATCAAAAGTCCGGCGCACGGATGATAATCCATCGAACAGCAAATGAGCAGGTACCGGAGGCGGTCGAGGCGGGCTGTGACAAACATGCACTTCAGTGATCGCAGCATCTTCACTGTATGTCAAAATTGTCGTTCTTACCGCGCTTGTGTAGCCAAAAGCCAATTTGCTCGCGATTCCTGCCATGTTCGTAAACCGACGTTAAAAAAAGGTCCATTGCGACCTTGAGGCCACCACGGGTCAGTGTCGCTGGTAGCCGCAGCCACCTGAAAGCGATGCAAGTGCTGCACAAGCCAGTCCAAAATTTCTGCGATTGCCTGCGTCGCCGCGTCTTCATCTGTGATGTTGGAAAACGCGAATCCGCTGTGCTGATTAACAAATGGCGATGTTTTTAGTGCAGGAGATGTCTGGGGTTTGGCAGCGCACAAATTTAGAATTTTTTTGTACTGTAGCGATCACAATCAGTCATGGCAATTTGTTAGCCTCAGTGGAGGTAATTGACAACATATTCAAACCGTACAGCCTCAGATGCAGCGTAAGGCGATTTTTCGCCAAATTGCAGTAGCAATGGAACAGTAGGCGATTTTGATATGTCATCGCTTGATTTTTCACATGCTGTCCAGGACATGATACCTCTTGGACACATGGCGATAACGCAATCCACTGCAGCAGACTGCTCGATAGCCACCTTAATGGCCAAATCAGCGCCCATACCTACTCCGAAAAGCCCTACGCGCTGGATATTGTGCTGCTGCCTGAGATAATTGGCTGCCTGATCGATAATAAATACGTGCTCTTGCATGGCACTGACCATCTTACCCTCCTGAAAAAAGTCTATTACCAGTACCTTGTAACCTTGTTCAGCCAATTTATCAGCAAATGAGATTGCTGTGCGACCGAAACGGTCGGTTGATTCAGTTTGGGCAGCAAATGTGCGGCTCGCACGACTCTGTTCAGCCACGAACACGACACCAGTGACGACGCGGCCGATGTGCGAGGCCGGAGTCACGAAATACGCTTCCACTAGAGCCTTCCCAAGAGATGGCGCATTTTTCAAGCCATGATTGTATGTGGGCGAGTGTTCGACTGGAATCTGCAGCGTATAGCCCGCCCCTGGAAACACGAGGCGCGGACGCACGATTCCGGAGGCGCTCATTTATCTTCAAATTCTTGATCACTGATTGTTATGTAGACACACCATACGACACGTCACTAGTTGCGGATTGAGGGTTTGTCATGACAAGCCTATAGACGGTTGCTATTTCCAGGGAATTTCGAGACACTTCTATTCCATTACCAAACACGACACACGCAGCACAGCATTTTAGGAATGAGAACTGAAGACTCTGCCAAGACGGACGCTGTTTCAACTGTACGCACTTTTGTGTCTATCTGATTTCATTGTACCTCACTTCGTAATTAGCAAACCGATTTAAAAATCTTGCCTGACTTAAGCTAATGCATGTGTCTTGTTCCTTCTTAATGCTACCAGACGATGGACATGCCTTGGGAGACAGAGAAGGGCATTCGAAAAATGGCCGATTTGCTGCGTGGTCGCAAAGGTCTTCCTTCGCGTCACGCTGTGGAGCTTGGCAAACGTGTCGAGTATTTTCGCGGTGACCGATTGGCCACATTTCTGCTCGCCAGTCCCAAGGTCAAAAAGTATTTTCCAGAACTGAAGACAAAAGAGGACGCCTATTCGGTAGGCCGTGAACTCTTGCAAAACAGCTATATTCATCGTTCAGATCGAGATGGTCAAAACAAAAGGATCCTGAAGCCCACACCCAAGCAAGACTTTTCACCTGAGGGGTACTTCACCTGGATGTACGAGGGATCCAAGACTATCCGCAATATTATGACAGCGCTTTTAATTATTGGTTTTTTAATTATCACCTGCTTTCCCATCTGGCCGCAATGGGCCAAGGTTGCGCTCTGGTACATGTCCGTGACCTTTCTTATCTTCGTTGCTATTTTTGTGGTGGTGCGGCTTTTCATTTTCTTTATCCTTTGGATGATTGGTTATGAATACTGGCTGCTGCCCAATATTTTCGATGACAATTTGTCGGTGGCTGACTCGTTCGTTCCATTGTATTCGTTGCGTACCACGGATTCATCAGAACGTATCTATCGTGTTATCGGCGTTGTAGCCTTCGCGTGCTTCTGCGTATGGGTCTGGAACCAGCCTACGGACTTCGACGAGTACATGGAGCTGACCAAACAGTTCACCGATGATATTTATAGCGGTAAACTATTGAGTGACATGTCTCAAAAGGATCAGGACAACATTGACGCCGTGAAGGTTCCTGATCTCCAGGATCTTCTCAAAGAAGAGGACGAAGACGACGACCAGGATAATAAGTTCACCGAAATCATGAATGAGGATGAGGAAGATAGCACAATATTCTCTGAGGCAATGGAAGATGACAAGGATGAAGTAGTCGACCGAGATTTGTAGAAAGCAGACTTCGAGCAGGCAGACACATTGACCGTCGGATAAGTTGGTCTTATTTCCTGCGTAGAACATGACATTAAATGTATTTTGGTCCTGGCGAAAGCACCTAACCATTATTGGTGTCCTTCACACGTTTGAGAAATTGTAGATATGAAGAGTGTAAAGTATTGACTGTATTGTGGGCGATTAAACCAGATGTTGACGCAATAATTATGTGGGGTGAGTTACGTCCACGGAGGCAAGATAACTTGATCGTACACAACACCATTGCGATTCAGAACGAATTGTATAGTCAAAGAGACTTCCGTCGATTCGATACGAAGGTAGCCCCATTCCCTTACGTGGCTTACACTCCATTCGCCAAGTTTGCTTGAAAAATTTTGCACTTCCAAACCGGCGCCAGCAGATCCAATCACTATATGAACGGGTCCCTTGTCATCCTTGGTGCATTTTCCGTTGCGCACAGCACAGCTACGCTCGTATGAGTGCTGATGTCCCACTAACATCAAGTTCACTTTGTAAGTCCAAAGCAAATCTTCCACTTCATCACGAAAGTGCTGAGCCACTTTGTAGTCAGCTTCTTCGCCTAATTGTGTAGTGTACATCATTCGGTGGGACGTGAGAATGACCCACGGAGTCTTCTCCCGATTCACGTACTTCAAATCATCTTCTAACCATACGTATTGCTTTGACCCACGACGCCAATCGTGCTCAGTTGAAATCTGGATAACGTGAATACCACCATAGTCAAAAGAGTACCAATAAATTCCGTTGCCATTAGCGGGAGCATCCCAGCGGTAAAACATCGGTACTGAGCATTCACCAGACGAGTCCTCACCGTAATTTGCCCACTCTGGGTGAAATGCCATTCGGCCATCGTCACCTGTAGCTCCGCTAGGGTCATTTACGCCGCCAGTCACGTAATCATATTCGTGGTTGCCAATGCTAACCATATACGGGACTCTCGTAGCATATGGCTCAATAACATGAAAAAATTCATCCCATATGTGCGCGTGACCACGGGCGTAACTTATGTCGCCAAAGTGCAAAAGGAAGCTATCATAGCCATCCATCACATCCTGAAACGATCTTACAGCAGTGGACGTAGCTGCAGGAGCTGAGTCTACGCCCATGTCAGCGTACGCAATAAATTTGGCACTTTTTACAGCCTCATCCGGGCGGCTCATGAAAGAATAAATCGAGCTCCAGCCGTCCTTGTCACTACCAAACTTATAATAGTATCGCGAGCTCAACTTTAGACCGTTGAGTATGACTGTATGCATATAGCCTGGATCACGAAACCACTGCTGGCAAGTTAGGTTGGCTGGACGGTGGCACAAATGAGCAGCCGTGTATGTCTTCGACGAACCCTCCTCACGCATGTTTAATTGTGCAGGGTCAAATCCGTACTTGACTACAGGCGTCTCTCGGGAGGCCGAGTTAAACATTACAGACATCTCATCAATGTTTTTTGTTAAAGCGATATGTCCATGCTTAGGGGCCGTAAAAGCATCGGTCATCCCAATTTCCAGCCTGGCAAGAGGAACATAGATGTTACCTTTTGGCAAGAAATTAAAATACTCGACTGTATAGTTGCAGCGCATCATAAAAAGCGATGGGAAGCGTATCGATTTAAGTGGTTTCATAGTATCAGCTCCCGGTCCATCAGCTTCCGCGACGCCAATCTCGACCAAAAAGTCCCTATCATGCGCCTTGGGGCCGCAACTAAGACCTACGAAATCTGTCTGATGCGGTCGCTTCACCCCGCTCCAAGAAATAATCAAATCCTCACCATCCCTCAGCAGTGGCGGCGTCGCAGCCAGTGTAATGTTATCTATTTCCTTTATCATATCATCATTTTCTATCCTAGACAAAAAAACATATTTGTTGTCGCGCTTGATGTCCCAAGGACTGTTTTCGCTTTGGATAATGGGACGCGGCTTTTCGTCAGATACATCTCTTAAAGCCTTTGAAAACTTGTAGCTTGAGTCAGGCTTCTCTGTTAGTACACACGAAGGCAGGTGGATCAGGAAAATGAGTAGCGAAAGCAGGGTAGCGATCATTGCTCGCAAAAGTTTCTTCTAAAAGAAAGAGAGCATTTATTATTTATAAACCATTCCGCGTTGCGTGGAGCACATAAAATCCATGGTGTGCTAACATCATTCTTTTAAAAAGTACATCAATACACAATCTGACCGCGCGGAGATCGATAGGCTTGGAAATTCATGTGCATGCAGATAGAAACTATGTCGACATTGATCATGTATCCCACGTATATATCTCACCTTGATGTCTTCCTGGCTGATTACAATCGTCGAGTGAAGTCGAGCGAAGTCGAGAAAAAACGATAAGTCTAGTCCAAGAAATCCTGTGCGTTTATCTAAGTCGCACCCTTTCTCGTTAGACGGCGAAGGTTTGTTATGAAGGCCAAAAATTTCGAAACCTACTAGTCTCATTTGAGATTCTTCGCCTGAGAAGACAGACTCTCAGCAATAATGGAACTCGTAGAAAAGACGACAACGCTGTCATCGCCTTTGATTAAGCGTGAAATCTCGCCCGATGTCGTTGATCTTCAGTCACACACTAATACCTCTCCAAGCAGAACTGGAATGACTCCAAGCTGTCTCAAGAGTTATCTCACGTGGGTTCCATTCCCGTTGATTCCGTCTGTTGTGCCAGAAAATAAAGTCTCGCTTTTCAACGATCGCCAGTATAGATTTTTTTTAGTGCCATCAAGCTGGTGTGAAATGTTCAGCTTATTTTGGCTGTATGATTTCGTTACAGACTCGATCCTCTTGAATGGGTTGACCTGTTAGAGCAGACTGAGTGCTTGGACTATATCAGCCCTGATATCGATAAATGCATCGAGCGACAATCTCGCATGGAGGGCAACCAAGAACTTGAGCTGACAGGTCGTGAATTTGTTGACAGTCCCGTGATACCTAGGCTACCATATTTGAGCGGCCTATCTTCGGCTGAGCAACCGACATTGCTGATGCCGAGAACGCGGCTCCAGGGTGGTAAGCTTCTAAATCATGAATTTTATTGGTGATACTTGAGCTCCAATTGTTTTATATTTGTACTCTATGCAGGCCACGCGTCGCGATGTTCAAGTTTACGAGAGCTTCCATCGTGCAGGAAGACACTGACAGAAAACAACGACGCCAACTTAAAGAATACTTATCCTGTCATTGCCGAGCAGCTTATTCAGATGAAGAGACCTTCAAGAGGGGCAAAGCGAAGTACTGCTCATTCGTCGTTACGATCGGCCAACAGGTTGCTCGACTTTGAGACTTCTCAACATTCTAATAGTCGACACAAGCGGGCATCATGGGGTGGGCGCCCAGCGCGTGTAGCAAATGCACGAGCTGCATCACGTCGAGAATGCAAATCTGCGAGGAAGTCAAAGGACTGTATGATCCCTGGATGTACGAAAGGTGCTCGGTCGCGAGGATTGTGCAAGCGACATGGCGGTGGGAAGCGATGCACTTATTCAGAATGTTCTCGCAGCGACCAAGGAGGTGGCTTCTGCATCGCGCATGGCGGAGGTATATCAATGCTACGGTTAAAAAAATACCCAGCTCGTTTAACGCTGGTGCTTTTGATGGCAACAAGGAAAACGGTGCGCCGCTGGAGGATGCAAGAACTCAGCTCAATCTCGCGGACTGTGCAAAAGCCATGGAGGTATGTCCATTCGATTACATTGTTCCGCTGTGATTCTGACTGTAATTAATTGCGTATCAGGTGGAAAGAGATGTCGGGCTAAAGGATGTACTAAAAGCAGTCAAGCAGGAGGATTTTGTCGTGGTCATAAACCTAAGATTACTTTTCTGTGATCGCCACTTTCATCAAAGATTGGCAAAGCACTAATGGATTATCATACACTAATTCAATTCGTCTTATGCAAAACACAAAAAGTTCCATAGACACTACTTCATTTATATCATATATACACTCTGACTCAAAGTTGTGAGGCATGTTACGACGTCAGCTTATGTTCGGCACGTATGCAAGTGTAACATGTTTGCAGAAAGCATTCCGTAGGTTGAAAGTGGTGTTAGAGCTTGGAAGAGCTGCATTTGTAGAAAAAAATCAACAGGAGTTGATGGCAAAATTTGTATTTGTTACTACTACTACATGGTCAAAAGTAGTAACAAATACAAATTTTGTTAACGTTTGTCCTCGCCCTCGCTTGCAGCATGGATTTCTTGACGTCCACTCGTGCTTGTACAAGACTTGTCAGTCCGTACCAATGAACTCGCTGCACTCCACCTTCATGTGTAACTGCTGTTGCGATCGTAGTGTACTTAACCCTTTTCCCTTTTATGCATCGCCCTGATCATACTCGAATGCCTACTAGCACAGCAACCGGCCGAGTCCTGAACTTGACAGTTCGCGAAAAAAGCGTTGCAATAAACGAAGCGGGGATAGACGGGGTGCAAAATCATAGTCGTCAGCGACGCCATGAACTCTTTCTAGAGTAAAACTTCTGCGATGAAGAAGAGGCCCGTCCACATGACCAGATACTGGATTCACTCGCTCACTCATAAGCTGTTCCAGTCCCGCATTGCTCATTGACCAGTTCGATGCCTCGCGGGACTAGTTCCAATGAGTTATCGAAAATGACAAGGCATCCAAAAGTAAACGCGCTTCCGTTGTGGACGTCGGTTTTCTTCGTACGAGCCTTCGGGAGACGATTTCAGATCAAATCCGGATCTCTCCTTTAGAGCTCAGCTATAAACGTCTGTCAAGACGTTTCTTCGTTTGGTAAAGTATGCCTTGCGTCTGGGTCGTGCATAAGAATGGAATTGTGATTTTGCGTGAGTAATCTCACATAAAGCACAACATGTGTTTGACCCCCTTGCGGAGATATAGAGCGTATAATTCCACTCTAAGTACAAGCTACTACAGCGAAGGACTGACTTGTTGTTATCATTATGTGTTGAATCCACACGTTGTACGTCAAGAAGATCCATGTTGTAATACATGACGCAGTAATATAAGGAGTAGCACTTGGGAACGCCCGAAACACACAGTATCTTAGCTGGGAAAATCATTGCTTTCCAGTAGCGCCACATAAATTGCATCTGACTACACGAACAGCCTCATCGATGCGTAAACTCACCATTGTGTCTAAAATCGTCCTATGCAAAACACGTTCTTCTCCACGTTAAGACGACTACTTTTAATTTACCTCATAGGTATACTCGACAGCGAACTAATCGTCTTGCAGCTCTCTGCGAGCTGCGGAATGGCTTACAAGCCGTAGTCATAACCATTAGCTTCAATCAGGGTGCTGAATTAACAAGTGCAAAACCAACCAAGACTCGATCATTGTCGTGATATGCGTAGCTTTCCGCAGGCAAAATTTCAAAAAAAGCGCATTTTTCACATTTCAACGAAGAACATAGTCTGTGGCACGGGCTGAGCGTATCGTACAAAGTTATATGGACGTATCGGACCTATTACATCCGAGAGTTGGGCGCACAAATTCTTGTCTTTCTCTTGACAATTCGAAATACCAACGCCTTTTGAAAAGGATATTTTTAATATCCTTTTCAAGAATTCTGGTAAATGCTATTTCTTCACTATACTTATGCCAGAATTGTGACCAAGCCACCCAAATCAATACGCAAGAAATGGTGAATCGGGCATTCAATCATGATTTAACTTTTATGGAATCTTCTGGAGACCATGCTTCTTACTGAGGCCTTAATATTGGGATTCCGTCAGCTTCAAAGACACATTGGTCGACAAAAGGAGCAGCTGATCGAAGCACGAACTCTAAAGTACAGCTTCAGTATAACATATAATCATACCTCTTAAGTTTTGCACTGTACCGAACTAACAAAGAGTCACAATCAGTTTTCACGGATGTAAGATGCGGCCAATCAGCTAATTCATTAAAAGGTCGAACTTTGCTTGTGCGTTACACAATCCTTGGACTTTGCCAGAGCATCCCGCAGGAGGCACTCACTGCAGCGGGGTGGAATGTCATTTACTCACATAATTAGCTGCCCATAGACTTGGTAAATAAATTATAACTCTGCCATATTGTTCTGCAGCACATCCCTTTCTAGGATATGGTGTAAACACCGTAGACTAGTTCTACTTTTGAATTGCAAGCGAGACTCGTCCCTTGCTGTTTGTCCGAAAGTCGGCTTCGGGTAAAAAGATTTAATCTTACTATCCCTACCTCGGGCTCCGGATATAATGACGAACTTTGGCATCGATCCATTTCGTGATATGAGAAGTAGCGTGTTACGCAGTTCCATCACAAATTATTTTCAAGAACAGCACCAATGGCTTATTTTTTCAATCTTGTCGTGATAGTTTTTCAATTAAAAATAATAAATCCGTAGGACCCTTACGAATGCTGACCCGCTCTTCGCACTCAGTACTGTTTGGGTCACCTTAATTCATGACGATAAGTTCAGCTCATATCGTATATTGTTAGTACCACTTCATCATTCCCTCGTGGCAATAACTCAAGTTCAACAGGCGTTTCTACTAGAAATACTTACATTCTTCTGTATTTAACTCAGTTACTCCATCCACGATTTTATATTATTGCTGGTACAAATACGTGAAGATCACGCTTTACACAGTGAGCACGTTCCTGTCGCAGCCAAACCGTCACATTTGCGACTCACATTCGCGTGTCTGCGTAGAGTTTGTCGCGGAATTCGTTGCCTTCAGTGTGTTTCTTCCGTCTCATCAAAAGTGACTTCAGGAGAGATCACGGCTGTCTATTCTTACTAAACAGAATGTATCCGAATAAGCGTACGGACAGTAACCTTTGCCTTCATACGTCAAACTGCAGCATGCGCCCGATCTTACCTTTCATGCATTTCTTAAGGATCCCAGCAACATCCCTGCATTTTTTTATGTATAACCCATGCCCTGCACCAAAGCTGTCGTACCTTCGTTCAGATGTAGACTTTTTGTTTTAGCAGAGATGGGTTTATGGCTCACGAAAACTACAAAGGCAAGAGTGCGCCACACCTAACGTCTTCGTTTTCGCGTCAATTTATGGCTCATGGCGTTCTAGCAAATTCATTCTTCGGATAAGTTTATTTCTGGGCCCCGAGATTTGGACAATAGCGCTCAAGGCTATCCTAGTTTTAAAGCTATATCTTGAGGCTTTGAGTAACCTTCGACATCTGAAAGAGCATATCTGGCGCGAGACGCTGGGACATCATACTCAAGCTCAAGACCTTTTCATATATTGTTCTGCTTTATCAATCGAGTGTCACACAAAGCTATACGACGCCAATGAATGTATCCAATAACCAATACGTTAAATTGTATATTAGAGTTGATACTGTATGGCGTATTTTGATAGCTAGGGACAATTGAGAAGTCATAACGTCTATAATCTATATTATAAAAATTCTTTACCGAGCCAAAAGAGCGTCAGAGACATGTATAACAGAAATTTTATGATAAAATATTAACATATGCGAGCTTCAAACAACTTGTTAAAAAGCATAAATCTTGCTTCATTGCGAAAAACTTACACTAAATATTAATTTCACGAAAAAAACTGCTCTCGGCGCTAGAACGTTTTTCATGATAAAGATTATTCATGTAGAGGTATAAAAGGTCATTTTTCGTTTTTAAATCAGCATCGCTCAACTTATGCTGGATGGTGCCTTTTATTGTCAGACGTAATTCGCCTTAATTGGGACCAGACCCTTGAAGTCAGCTGGTGAGCCTTGGGTGGATATCAGCATTTTCTCGATGTGTGCCTCAGTGAACGCTTGTGTAATATTAGCTTTTCAAGTGTAAGACCAGTCTATTGATACGCTTGCATTATAAATGTTAAATTTATAGGACCAACGAGGCATACAAGTGTGCTTTTTGCCCGACCCCACGGGTCCCGCTGCCTCGACGCAATGGCCTGTTGAAGTAAGTGAAGTTCAACAGGGCCAGAATCAGTATCAGGTTGATGTTGAAGTAAGTGAAGTTCAACTGCAACAGTAGGCTAGGAACCATTAGTTTAGACTGCATATGAGGAATGCACTTTAATCAATCACTTCTCACTCAACCAACAATCTCCTCAACACTATATCAAGATGACCCGCGAAATCCCGAAGCGGACATAGAACGTTTATACCGCTCAAAACGACATTCACCCGTCATAATGGATATATAGCTTTGGCCAATAACGCTCCATATGGTCGTAAATATGAAAATGAGAGACAATAGAAATCCCCTGACAAAACAAGCTGCCTAGAAGGATTTGTGACACGCCAGCCTGATTGAGCTTCGATGCGATCTTTGGGGCGTACGTTCAATTTTTTTTCGCGCTAGAGACTAAAATAATGAACGGGCCTGTAAGACAGAACTTATCCTTGCGTTCTCAGTAGCGGCGAATTCAAAAATTCTGCGATGGAAAGATTTTCTGCTACTTGAACGGTTACTGGTAGTCTTCATGACAAATATCGCTGCTCTTAAGTTCGTACGATAGGATCGTTCCTTAAAGCAACATTTACTTCAATTTGCCAGCCACTTGGTTAGATAAACTCAAGCCAAGACGTAGTTAATGTAAAGCGTGTGTACGGACAAAGAAAGATACCCATTTTTCGGTTGTGGCATTCACTAAAAATTGTTAGAAGCTGCTGCGTCTTAACTTCTTATTTTAGGCGTGAAAGCAGGGAAAATACGCAATATACTTGGAAGATCGCGAATATACACTTTACAAGCTGGCTGCAGATTGATGGGACCAAAAAACATGTACCAATATATGCCAGCTAACTTATTGCTTGTTGAGTACGCCATTTTTGAGAGCTCTCATACAACCGATTTCCTTAGTTGACGACACCCTAAGCGTGCGGAAGGTTTGCGAAAATGTTGTCGACATGCTAACATCGTGCGATTATTGTTTGGTCTTCATCTCTCGCCAAAGCTAAAAATATGGAGTGAAAGTCCTGACACCGGAGTATCACGGTGTTTTATAACGGCGCTCTTCACTAGGCAACGTTGTAGGGAGCCCAGATTGCGCTGTCGTGTGTCGTATTTGTCTAGATAAGCAATAAGCATTTTTATATATCAACTTGAGTTTTGATTATCTGTCTGACCTACGGGGATGAATATATATGCTTGATTCTATTTTTTTGTAACTGATATCGTCGATCTTCATTTACTTTGTCCATCGCTTTGAGGCGCCTGTTATGACTGGCTGGTGCACTATCAATATTTTCATTTTGTAGTTTGTTTAAACTCATTTGCAAGGTATGTAGCTCATATTGAGCATGACGAGTTTCAAGCTTGATGATCTGGCCCACTACTATATCTGATTATTCAAGAAACCGTCGCGGCCTTGCCGACCATATATAAAAAACTCTTGTTTGTAATATTCCAGTAGTTTTGTGCAAATTTACGCGATTTGTGTCAGAGTCATCCGCTTTTAACTAGATATTCTTCTTGAAGTTCAACTAATGTATAATACACACTTATAACTCAAAGAAACTTGTTATATTAAAAGGACCAAGATGAATGCGTTCTCGTTCCGTATTAAGTAACGTAGCAAGTAGATTAAGTCGTCTTTCCGGGTTCATACTAAAGCTAGTCCAAACTCGTTTTAGCTTATCCCAATCGATCATGAGGGGGTCGCTGATTCAAATCAGCTGTACGCGTGAACCATTTTTGCAACGGAATTGCCGTGCACTTTGTACATAGGAAACTTTGACTCTCAGATTTTGCTTTAGCGATCATACTTAGTGCGCTCCAACTTGGAGACTCTTCGATCACAAACGCATTAAGCTCGCTGTGCTTTATCAAGAGTACGTATATATAATAACCATTATAAAAATACGCTTATTTTCTCTCATCACCGAAATGTCTTCGTGGCTAGCATACCATGGACCCTCTTTTTATTTCCATCATCTATATATACCGATATTTCCGCACTTGAGAATATGCAGAATCACACTGAGTGTAATTGCGTACAATTGCACCGTATTGTATAAAAATACACTTCCACCAACTGTGTGTGCACAAGATTAAGGTACTTTTCCCGTCATTAATCCTTTCCCGTTATTAGCCTCAACGTTACCTAGAGTAACATCTTAAACTGCGAAAAAAATCTATGGTAAGTTGCAGCAGTTTTGGTAGCACTTATGTACTTTTATATATAGGAAATTAAAGAGCTATGTCACCACATTTTGCTTTCTGTAGCTTCCAACAATGCGCCGCTCATAATGCAGAATGATAAGCAAATCGTGACGTGCCTCGTAGGAGAGCTAGCCGGACAATTATAGGATTCGTAACGCTCTTCCGAGGCTTTCGTAACGGCACGGCTCACAGTGCCTTGCAAGAATACTAAATGACGACCTTGTGGGGTGCAAATTTTTTAAATGACGCGCTCATGTTAATTTAAGTGCCTTCTCACAGGCTGAGCGCGGATATTCATCGAAAGTGGTGGATAAACCGAGTCGCGCAGAGTCCTGAATACCGCCCGCCCGCTATGGCTGTAACGACCGCTCCATCCACTAGAGTGTGGACTATGATCTGTTAGCAAAAGGAGCAACACTTGTTCTAGAGAAGGTACTTACATAAGTGAGTATACTAAATTGATCATGATCACTTTATAAAAATACAGGTGATGACAAATACCGCCTTAGACCTGGTCGAGTCTATTTCACGGGGTCTGGTTTTGGTGGTTGCGCCATATCTATCAGAATTACCTCAAACACGTCGCTTACGACGTATATTGGATTTGAATAAGTGACATTACACCGGAATAGCTTGACTAAGGACTTTGACGGATTTGCCGATTAAGTCTTGCACTGCATATCTCAATATATACGATATGAATAATATTTTAGGAACCATTTGCATGAAGTATCAGATGCTATCTCGCGAAAGATAGAGCCGATATTTGATAACAAAGAACAGAACTGTTCTAATGATTAAACACGGTTGTCCGGAGAGATGCAGTTCATATACCCGATAATTTATACTTGCCGCATTAGCCTTGAATTTTTACGGTCTAATTGCACATTCTTGTGGACAAGAGCAGAATACTAAAATATCTTAGCTGCAAAGGGCCGAACAAATGTTGCACTACACGATTTAATGGCGTATTTTTGAATCACAACGACTCAATTTAGCGGTATAGAAAGTGCGACACTGTCTAGATCAAATGTCCCCTCAAGATAACAAATTGAGTTCCTTGCTCGTGTAGACTTGGCCAATAATCTCACGTCAGACGTATTGTGCTATCAGGTTGTGAATTTCTACTCCGTTGAATGACGAATTTGAAATTGTATGTTCAATTTAAAGAAAAGCTACACGCGCATCGAACGTGTATAGAGCAAAATTGGTCGAGACGCTATTTACGATTTGTAGATGTACGGCATTGGGCATTTAAATCTTGTTCTTGGTGTCCTAAAGCAACATTAAATTGGTTTACAGACGGGTCTTTTCGATACGAGTAGTCCAATGACCTCATCGTGTAGTAGAAGAAAAGGTTTTGATAAACGTTGTCAGCCAGCCCGCATCATGATGCTTCTGTTGCCTTTATGACTGAGATGCGACCACGCCACCTCAAATCTTGGCGCTAAGCAAAAAGGGATCGAATTATACGTTTAGATTGAATAACACATCTCTCAATCGATCGTGTAAATTCGCAGGCTATGAGCGTCTGTGGCAGTTCTCCTTTCGATTGGACTCTTTTCTATTACCAAGCATCGGCAAGTCCTCTGAAATTGGCTACCATCATCGCTAAACATCGTTGCTGCATTTCTGTACTCTGCATCGGATACCGCTACTTGGTGCTTATAGCCACTCGCAATATCAACTACGTTCTTTTCACCGAGATTACTTCCATAATGGATGGGTTCGAACGTGTGCAGAAGATTAGCTATCTAGGTCAGTCTTCGATAGGTCCTATTTTTAATTGGATCGCACTTGCCTTAGGACACAGAAGAAACAAACATTCTCTTCATAAGTCTAAGAAAAGTTAGCGCGAAAGAGGCGGTCTCGGCAACGAAGTCTTTGGCTATGATGACGGCGACGGCGACGGCGACGGTCTTCAGAAAGCAGGGACCAACAAGTGCTACCAAATGTAGCGTTGTGGCAAATGAAAGAGTGAGCGTGCTTCTTTTTTCTTTCTGCTGATTATGTACTTGTAAACTATCTACATATATACTATGCATTCTTATTGGACCACGTGTTCTTGATCTCCGAATCTGTTATATTGATATCGTTCTTTCTGGAATCTTATCGAAAATTCTAGGGTTTTAACTCGAAAAATTGCTAAGTCTTAAATCGTTATCTTGGGTAACTCGATACACGTCATTCCATCAAGACATCACTCATTACAACATTCATACTGGTTCTAGTATAGAATGTAAGGTCAGTAACCTTAGCTTAACTTCCTCTAAGCAAAAGAGCTACGACAGCCTCAGTACACTTGGTAGCACTTGTAGTCAATCAATACCTGAGTCGTTACGACTGATCCTCCGTGAGAATGGAGCAATTCTTCTATTTTCCCCAAGGCACACAGGACGGGCTTAAATTGCTGATGTCTCCGCTTGGCCCTGAGGGCGCGCAACACCTCGCTCCACAATGACCTGAAGCGATCAGCGCGCGCCAAGAGGGGTTTTCGAACTATGAATATGCTCTGCTAGAGCACCTAAGGCAGAAGATGTCAGTGTCGTCTGCGTCCATGACGCCACCGTCGACGACGAATGAATCCTCTCGCCCCAGGCCGCTCATGGTGAGCGTTAAGTCCTTCGATGGTAGGGATCAAGAGAATCATCTGATCTGACTGAGAGAGGCCAAGATGGCTATGGAATCTGCAAACCTCCAGAATTTGCGCGTGGCGCTAGCTACCTCCCAGCTCAGTGGTCGAGTCCGAGAATGGGCACTGACGTGCGGCACTTCGATCGAAGCGGCGGTTCCGACGGGGCTGAAGCTGCATCTGTTACGAGTCTTCTCGCCGCCTAACCAGGCATATCGCGTGCGATCGCGTTTTCTTGCCTCCCGATAGGGCAAGAAGGAATTGGTGGACTTTATACAAGCGTTGCGTACTCTTATTCCCGGAATGGCAGCCGACGCTCTCCCCGAGGCGGTCACGTGGCCGTCTTTATGGAGGGCCTCTACACTGGCGTGGCCAGAATGGAATTCTTCCGTGTGCACCCGTTTTCTTTTGAAGAAGCAGTAATTGTGGCATTGAATGCCGAAATCCACTTAATTCGACACGACTTGGTTGGAATGCACACTGTAGAAGCTCGTCGAGTGGGCCTGAGCCGATGGATTTCAGTTATGATGAGGACGAGGAGGGACAGCTCCAAGCTGCCGGGCAGCGTCCAAACACTCGACGGTGTTTTTTCTGTGGAGACAGCCGTCACCTTCACTTTGGTCGCCCCCTTCGCAAGGCGCATCAAGGTTCATCGAACCGAAGTCCCGCTTCTCACCAATCTTTTGGTTAGTGGTGGGGATACGACAGGGGAAGAATTGAGTACTTCTCGCCCTCAAAGAGGCAAAGAGAAGCAGTCCCAGTCCCGAAGAGCTTCGTGCTCTTGGACACGGAGCGTATATGCAAGTCGGTCTTGCTGGTCGTAAAAGCAACCGTGAAGGGCTTTGAAAAGCCATAGAATATCATTATCGACACTCCAGGGCCTTGGAAGATTATATTCGAAGCTCCACAATGAATGGAAGTCAGCTGTACACTGAGGCGCTGAAAGTGCGGCTGAAGAACATCGTCACTGTACGGGTACATGTCACTTGGGTTTGAGAGCGTGAAACGCTAATTCGTCTTAGATTTGAGTACAAGGCATGACCTCATCCTTGTTATGGCATGGTTGGGACATCATGAGCTGTGGATCGATTGGAGGTCGAAGACCTTGGGCGCTACGCGCACGTCCCCTGGTGGAGCTTTAGAGTGGCACGTAATCTACCGAGCACTGTTTACGTTGTGAAGCAGTTGCTGCATGTCAAGAATGGCATGGTCAGACTAGGTTCCAGGTATTAAGGAGGAGGATGCGCGTGAAGTGACAGGTCATCCACTGAACGAAGGCTTCGGAAATAGCAGCTCTTCGTCGGATGTTGTTAATACCATCAAGCCTCTGATGGAGCAGGGAGTGTGGACGCTGGACAACGCCGAGTGCGTGTTCAAACGGTATCGATGAGACGAAAACCTCTGTAGAGACGAGACAGCGACGATGTATGCTAGCAGCAAGACGCCGAGCGTCGACCCTGACCCAAGATGAGTCTATGATAGGGCACAGCTATGCACACTCGTGCTCTTCTTGGGCTGGACGAGATGTCTTCGAGGAGTTCAGCTGTGCCTTGAAGACAGGCGACTTGGCCGTATTGGGCATTTTACGACCGGACGAGGAGATCAACTCGTCGTCGCTTTTCGATGAAGCTGTCCGGAAGAGTACCAAGAGGGTGCTGAACGCACGAAATGAATAGTCGGCCCTATAGAATCCCTTGGGTCCGTAGTATCCTTTGGTGAAGGAATTTCAAGACGTCGTCTCCAAATCTGGACCGAGGTGTGCGTCATGAGATTGACATGATTTTGGGAACCAAATACTGCGTAAGACGACAATGGCTACTGCCTAGAGAGCAGTGCGACGTCATTGACGCCTTCTTC